CCTCTCACCCCCACTCACCCCGCGGCCGCGCCCGCCAGGTGCAGCTGCCGCCCACCGTCCCCGCCACCCTGGCCTACATGCACGAGACGGGCGCCTACCTCATCAGCAACGGCACCCTCCTCGTGCTGTGGCTCGGCCGCAGCGCAGACCCCGGATGGGTCGCACAGGTGCGGCCGCAGCCGCGCGGCCGCACGCGCTCGCACGCGCGCGTGCGCCCTGCCTGACAGGCAGGCCCGTCCCAAGTTCGGCGGCTTCGCCGTAGCCGCGCCCTCGACCCCCATGTTGCCCTCCCTGAATCAGCTCCACACCCCATTTCATCTTCCCATGTCCTCCCGCACGTTCGCCCTCGCCAAAACCCCGCCCACGCTGCCGTCCCCCCCCCCCCTCGGGGTAAACCCTAAACCCTTGCTCTATGGCCTGCAGGTGCTGGGTCCCGAGGGCGCCAACCCCAGCGCTGATGTCAGCGCCCTGCCCCTGGAGCCCCCCCGCCAGGGCAGCGCGCTGTCGCAGCGGCTCTGCGCCCTGCTGGCCGAGCTGCGGCGCGGCCGGCCGGCGATGCAGCCCGCGTTTGCGGTGCGGCAGGGCACGCCGGCGGAGGCGGTGGCGGTGCCGCTGCTGGTGGAGGACCGGGCGGCGGGGCAGATGTCGTACACGGACTTTTTGCTCGCCGTGCTGAAGCAGGTGCTGACCAAGTAGCAGCTGGATGTGCTGGAGCAGGTGCTGACTAATAAGTAGCGACCGTACGCCTTGATAGACCGACGGCTGACGCCCTTTTGGCGTCTAGTGCGCGGGCTTGTTCTGAGCAGCGAGCCGCGTGGATTATCTTGCTGATGCACCCAGCGCGGCGCCTGGCGCATGCTTACGCGAGCGCTCTATCTGCGGGGGCCTGGATCCCTGCCCTGCATACGCCTCAGCGTGTGTGTTGGGTACCAATGCGGCTCTGCACGCACGCGGTGCTGTGCTGCGCTTTCCCCTGCGTCAGCTCAGTCGACGCTTTGAGTAAAGGGGGAGGATGGGCGTTTAGTGAGTGTTGTCGAGGCAGGTAGTCCGGGGGTCAGCGGTGCGTGGTAGAGCGGCACCAAAGACCAGCTTAAGCGAGTGGCAACATCCAGGTGCAACGTACGTGTCACCTGCCATGACCACTTGACACTGCTGGGCTCTGAAAATCTCTTGGTAGAACTCAATTTGTAGCCAGCTGCTCACTGGCCCTCGCTGCGCAGCAGCGCCAAGCGCAATGCATGTACAGTACAACATGCCAGACGTGGATGGTACATTGGCAGGGATGGAGCAGCTGTGCGCAAGGGCAATGCACATGGCGCTGGGTGTGTTGTCCCTCTGTGCCCAGGCAGCATGTCTCAATGAGAGCAGTGCAGGGATGGCCGCGTTCAGGCCAGCACACATCACTTTGCACTCGTCAGATGCACATGCGTGTGAGCGCACACACACACACACACACACACACATGCACGCACACACACACACACACACACACACACGCACACGCACGCACACACACACATACGCACGCACGCACGCACGCACGCACGCACGCACGCACGCACGCACGCACGCACGCACGCACGCACGCACGCACGCACGCACACGCTCGTCCCACCTCACGAAATTTGCAAATCACGCAAGTCAAAGCTGCGGCAAGCAGTTGGGATTGTGCACTGTTCAGCCAAGATGCACGAGGGCGGAAATGCGCAGCTGACATCATTATTGATGCAGCAGCAACTGCCTCCACGCAGCCGCCGCAGGGTGGAAGCTGGCTGGGGAGCGAGCGCGGTTGCATGGTGAAGCTGTGCGAGGGGCGTATGCACTGTCAAAACACAAGGCTTGGCCAGCCAGTGCGCCGACTGGTCGGCAAGCCATTGCGCCCACTGGCGGACAGGCCAAGCAGCTAACCTCCGCGTGCCACGACAGCTGGCAAACCAGAAGGCGGGCGCCAGCGGTTGCGGCACCGTGTGCGATGCTGGCTGATGTGGTGTCGCCGCAGCTTGAAGCAGGTGCCTGGGATTATTAAAACAAACCAAATCCCGGCTCACCAGGGGCAGTTGCCCAGTTGCTGCCGCAGTTGCAGTTATCCCCATTATCTCGATGGCACCTGCGTAACAATGATGCTGGGACCAGCAGCTGCAATACAGATCGCATCGGGAACTGGGAGGCCGGCCCAGGCAGGCAGGGGAGGAGCGAGGAGGGGGGCAGCCTGACACCAAGACCCAACGAGATATTTGTTGACACAGGCGGGACTGGTCCCAGAATGTTGGGTCGCTCATGCAGTATCAATCTTGTACAGCCGAGCGGTCCTCGCATTGGATTGTTGAGATCTTTGCTTTCTTCAAAGCGGGGTGGGCAGAACATGATTGGTTTCCTGATTTTGTTGGCCGGGAAGGGCAGCTATGTCAGATGAGAGAAGGTAGCTGCCTGCCCTGAAAGGCGTGTACTGCAAGCTCATTGTACGAAGATTGCTGAATGAAGATGCGCATCTCTGGGCTTGAACCAGGGTTGTGTGAGGAAACCAGGTGCACGCACCAGCTCTGCCTTGCTCTAGCCTTGGGTGCCCCCTTGGTTGTAGCTGCTCAGGACACCACACCACCCATAATGCCCTGTACTGGGCTCAGGGTAGTTCTGCATTCCATCACCACCCAGAGCCGAGATGTTGGGAGTGTGTGTACACAGCGCAAGCTATACAGAACCCTCTTGCAAATGCTGCATCTTCTGCATTCCATCACCACCCAGAGGTGAGATGTTGGGAGTGTGTGTACACAGCGCAATCTATACAGAACCCTCTTGCAAGTGCAGCATCGCCCACAGCCGAATGAAGTTGTTACCAAATCACCTTTGCATAATCAAGTTGGTCCCAGCTCATCGTTTTTGACCTCAGCCATTCAATTGCACTCTGCCATACGAAGCCCACAGCCTCACACAGGCATGCAGTTCCAATAGCAACACACCAATCTTCTATCATGTGCTGAGGTTGCTGTGTGATCCACAATGATCAATGCTGATGCTATTAGCAAGGTTGTTTTGTAACTGGCTTTGAACCAGTACTTTTGAAGAGAGGTGCACGCATTCGGCGGTAGTGCAATGCCGAACACATGCATGTCAAGGACCACAGCAAGCTGTGAGACCAAGACCCCCATCAGAAATTTGTATGATCAAAACTTGGACATTGTCCAAGTTATCAGTGATCAAACTGATAAGAACAGATACTACACTTGATCTTAGCCAAAAGGCCGAGAAAGGTATGAAGATGCAAAGCACCGTCAGACTAGTAGGCCAGTTTTGCTGTGACAGCTTGCGCATCAGCCACGCAGAGGCGGGTGCCAGGCAGCCATGTCATTATGCCTGGTGACAGTGAAAGGCTTCTTTGTACGCGTGACTGCATAAAGATTGCTTCTATAAGTCATTACGCATTTCTTTCGATCGCCTCAAAAGCGCGCGGTGTGCTCGTGCTAATGATTTCCTCGCCGCCGCGTTGAGGAGAAGCCGAATGCCAGGGCAGTCCGCTGCATACTGATATAACTGCTGCGATCATTTGTCGGTGCGTGATGCAGCATTTGGCGATCATTCCCTGTATGCGCGCGTGCGCTGCGCTCACGCATGCGCTCCGCTGCGGCTGGTCCAGGGAGCAGGGCTGCGGAAGGGCTCACGCCTGGAACTGTGGTCTGCCATGTGAAAGCCATGTATCGCATGCTGAGGATGGCATCAAGTGCCATGGAGCAGCTCGCATGAGCAGCCAAGCCTGGGAGTTTTGAGTCCACCAATTTGACGCATGTTGCGACAAAGCGTTGCAGTCGAAAACGGGAGGGTTTTACCACATGCTGCAACAGCACTCGACTCTGTCAGTTAGCACATGCTGCGTTGGTTGACAGGCCGCCTTGCAACAAACAGGCTGCCATGTCCTCAGCGCGGTTTGGTTGCCAAACATGTTCCCTTGCGCTTTGACCAGGCTGGTTCGCGCGGGAACCATACAGCATCGGAGCTCGGCGGGCACGTGCAAGGGATGGCGGCGCAGCAGGGGGACCTCGGGCGTGCAGGCGTTGGGGTGACAAGTGCAACTTGTTGGCACACGTTGCTTGTGATGCGCCGCAGGTGGCAACCATGCAAACGTGCCGTTTGGATTTGTGTGACCGCCAAACGATAGGTGAGCCTCAGCTGCAGCTGAACTGCGGAAGGGTGTGCAGTGCCTAGGCAATCCAACAGCGCGCGCTGACCTCCGCCGCCACAAAAACGATGCTGGGCGCTGCATCGTTGCTTGAGGAGGGCGGGCTAGCCACCACGTAATGGCGCGCGTCCCCCTGGCTCTCTTGCAAGGGCCCTGCATGTTGCAAGCTGTGAGCTTGCCGCACATGTGTAGAGGAACGGCGAATGGAGTACTGTAGTGTTGGGCGGCAGCCAAAGTGCCAGTTAACACGCGGCAGCGCAGGAGCGAGGGAATCTGTGTGGGTTTTTAAGTATCGAGATCATGGCTCAAACCCGTGTCGGTGGCAGCAATCCTACGTTTCCGCGGGTCTGGCGTGCATTAAGGGTGCGCGTGAGCACACTCTTGATGTGCAGCCGCCGTTGCTGCGATTGTCGTTGTCTGTATACCAGACCACGGTCGTCTCTCGACGACTGCCGTTTGCTGTGTCAAAGGCTTGTCGGTGCAGCAGTGCGAGAGTCATAGCCAGATGCTGCCTTCACAGTCTTCTAGAACATGGCGCCCGGCAGCCCGGAGCAACACAATGAGCAGCGGATTCGACCACAAGCCTGTGATCCTGCTGGTGGCTGCGTGAAAGATGGTGATGTGCCGCAAGACCCGCAGCAACGGGAGGGCTGCTCGCATGACACGCATGCCACCTGCCCCCCAAAAACTTCCTGATCTCGCTCATCTGAGCAGGCGCTGAGCAGGAGCACGGCGCGATGCCCTGCGGTTGGGCGTGCTGCGCCGCTCTGTTGCCACCTCCGTGCACCCCCTCCAGCATGCAGGCGGCCGCACAGAACACCTACGAACCTGCGCCCTTACGCATGAGCGTGTTGCCGCATGCGCTTGATAACGTTGTGAGGTCGATACCCCAAGAGAACAGGCCCCGCACGCAGCCAGCTAGGCCATCTGGCCCTCGATCCAGTCTCTCTAGGCGCCAGATCGCTCTCGCCACTCTCAGCGAGTCGACAAAATGAATCCAGTACCATCATCAAAGTTGCAGTACATGTCAGGCTTCGGTGCGCGTGATAAAGTTGATCGCGACACATCAGCAGTGGACCTGTATGGACCGCGCTACCCGCGGCCCTGCGTCAGGCTGCCAGCAGCATCGGACAAAGTCAGCGGTTGAGAAACCATGCACGGGTGCCGCAGTTGCGAGGATGCGGCGAGGCGGTGCAAATGTGCGCCGCGCGGAAGCGCAATGTCGCCACCCTTTTGTGTGAGCACGTCTGCGCTGCCCTAATGACACCCCAGGCAATGAGTTCTCGTCAGAAGCACTGCCAGGGGCGCTCCCACAGGGGCAGAACAATCCAAGGGTGAGGGCCGGTTGGGCTGCTGACTGTTGGGGGCGTGCACCATCAGCTTGCACCTTGCAGGTGGCCTCGGGTGGCCCCAGCGATTGAAATCGGTGCAGCCCGCTTGCCTCCTATCAGAAACAAACAGCGGAAACGTCGAGGGCAGCAGTGGCAGCAGCAGCAGCAGTCGCGACATATGCAGAGACAAAGTGTGTGCTTCCAATGTGTCGTGAGCTGCCGCCTCCCCTGGGTGGCCCCCCCCCCTGCTGCCAGGTGTGCCCTTACGGACTGTACGCGGAGCAGCTGTCTGGCTGCGCCTTCACTGTCCCCCGCAAGTGAGCTGAAATGGACGATGCCTGTATGGCGCAGCAGCCTCGCCCTCCTACACTCGGCCAGCCCTCCCACAGCTCTGCTTTCACAGCATACCCCCCCCCCCCGGTGGTGTTTCAATCATTCACAACG